TTCCTTCCTTCCTTCCTTCCTTCCTTCTTCCTTTCTTTCTTCTTTTTTTTTGTATTTTTTGGTCTTCAAAGGTTCTCCTAATTACGGATCTCAAACTTAACCTTGGAAAAAGTTTTTCTGTTCAATGGAATTCAGTTTTCCCTGATGCAGAGAGATTCAACTGCTATCCAGATGAAGACATCCCATCTGAAGACATATGCAGGCAACGTGGTTGCTCATGGAACGAGGTGATAAAATTTTAATTAAGACTCATTATATAGTTTCCATACCAGCATTTCAATATGAACTTTACATGTTAAAACTTTAATTCTCTAGGGTATAAATTCACGTTAAGATAATTTTGAAATTAGCAACTCTGTTAAATAATGTATATTCATATTAATCAATTCTTCCAAGATATTTTACTAAGCGCCAGGCTAAATGGATGTGAAAATTGCTTTCAAGGCATTATGGATAAGGTACTGCATTTTTTAACCTTTCATTAGATAATATCTGTGGTTGAGTAGCTCAGCTGTGTAAGATATTTTGCAGGGAGTAGGAGATTTTTAGAATAATCTACCTCATAACTTGATTGATTGCTTCAATTGTGAAATTGTATGCAGTTGAATGCTGATTTGGAGCTACTTACCAGTGATAGCTAGTTAATTTGATTTTTTTTTAACAAAAGAATGACATCTGTGGATACCATCTTTTAATTTTTAATTTTTTGTAGCAGAAAAATGATGTTTGCGGATGACATTCTTTTCTTTAGGTAGCATGGGAAATATGCGCTCTTGCTCTGTCATGTTTCAATTTCTGGTCATTTGATGATATCACCAGGATTGACAGGAACAAAAAATTCATTTCATGTAGCCAAGCAACTAAATTTATGTTTTACCACTGAAGTGAAATATATCTGCCAGCAATTTCCCAGGAGTGTCTTCATTTGTATGAGGCAATGCATAGAAACTCTGACTGAAGAAAAAAATTTTTTCTCCATTGCTTGATAAAATAACACAATGTTTACTGCTAGGAAAATTTATGAAAACAATGCAAAAAGATGCTAAGGTCAAGTCCCGAAGTATTTCTGTTTCTTTCTGTAACTTCACTTTACACTGTGGCTCTTGTCACGTTCATAACATGCTCACTTACTTCACTGCCAAAATCTGAAGGTTCCACAAGAAGATTACTTTTACTAAACACAAAGAACCTCTAAACACTAAAATGTCAAAACATTACTTTTTCTGTAACTATTAATATTTCATGAATATGGAGATTTTTAGACCAAGGAAATGAAACTTAACACTTGGATATCAGACATAAGAACTTTGTATTTGATTGTTTAGGGTGCTGAGATAATTACTTGTGTTTCTTTAGAAAAACAGGATTTATGTACTATAAGACCTGCATTGATCCAATCACTGTTCCAGATAAGCAAAATGAAATCCTGCTGCCCTATTAAAGTTCATCCTGGAGTGTAGAAACCTACAAAATAAGAAAAGTGTTATTATTTTTGATGCAAGGAGTGCTCAAAATATGTGACAAATGTTTAAAGTAAGAAGATTATTACAGTAAGACACATTGTGGTTGAGCATTCCAACTACTTCCCCTCACCTTGAACATAGTTACTGCATTGTTTTCACAACTTTTTGTTTGTTTTTAATTTGTGACATGTACCCTTTCTTGGGATTTAGGCCTTCAGTCCACCATGTAACTGAGGGTGTCTTGTAGCAACACTCATCTCAGTCTTTGCTGGAGTTACTGGCATGTACCTCCAAGTCTTATAGCGATTTTTTTTCAACTATCTGAAGCAGTTTTGGAAGTCATCTTTCCAGGATCTTTATGGGATATGGTTAAAAATGCAATGAATATTTCCAGCAAGTTCCATACAATGGAAACTCAGACTTCTGTTGTAAAGTCATTGCCTGGTGTTCTCATCCATCTTATTCATTGGATTTGGTATAGTGTATCTGTGGCTGTTCTTCAGCGTCCAACATTGAAAGATAAAATATTTGAATTGATGCAGGACACTGAGGCAGTCAGAACAGCTAAACTGTAGACATTTAAGAAAGAAGACTTCAAGAACCACTTCAAAGAGGGGAAAGAGCAATGACATAAGTGTGTTGTGAATTAAGGAAAATACTTTGAGAGGAATTAATAGCAATGTTTTTCACTATAATTTAAAAAAATAGACATTCATATTTTTTAATCACACATAGGATAGAAAGGATTAAGGAGAAAAGGGGAAGGAAGGAAGAGGACCAGTATTATCTACTTAAAGCTGCCATGCAGGGCAGTGTAATGATGAATGGACTAAGATTATGGTCTTCTCTTTACAATAAGAGACAACAGTCAGTATGGTTTCCTGTACTTCTCAAGCCACATTCGTCACACAGTACCAACATCAAGAAGGTGAAAGAGGGTATTTCAAGAGCTGTAGTTTTATAACTTAGTATGATCATGCTACTGAGTGGCATAGGGATTCTGTATGAAAAAGAATGATTTTTTAGTAATGCAGAAAGCTTATTAAACTGTTCACAAAGACACCATGTGTTGAGGGACTAACAAAAGATGGACAGCATGGTATTCTGGTGTTGTCACTCTGTGTGCTAAACATTAACTTGTTTACCCTGATACCTAAGGCAAACATATGGGACAAAAATTAGGTTTAACAGAACAAGATATCATTAATATTTCCTTAATTACTGATAACTGTAGAAAAAAATCTCCAAGAAGACTTTTTAGTCTCTTGCACATTCTTCTAAACTGCCCTTCTATTCATTTAATTTCTCACTTGTATTTCAACTATCATCAGGTCATATGAATCTTTAGTTGATATGAATCCTGACTAAACTCATATCTGAAAACTTTAGATGCCAAACTCTCAGAAATAAGTTCCATGTGATAACTTCCTTAATTTTAAAATATCTAAATGTGTGTAGACACAGGTAGGGTTACACATTTAAAGTAGCTGCCTTATCATGTTTTTATTTGAGTAAATTAACTAGTGTTGGGATAATCAAAATATGTATTTTTTTATTCTGCTGACTGGTTAAGTTACATGATTTTATACTGTTTTCTTAAATTGGTTCACCAGTTTACTTTCATGCTAACTACAGTACCAATGTGGCTGAGTAGTAAGAAAGATAAATAAGATGAGGAATGAAATTATAAAGCGTGGTGCTGAGCAGAATAGCTCTGAGGGAGTCACAAACAAACTGGATGTTGTGACAGTAATATTCAAGATTCTTTGGACACTCATTGCTTGCCCTGCAGCAGGAATGAGTGCTACGGTATTTCTATCAGTAAAATACTGCTTTCTATTAAATCTGTCTGACATCTAAAATCTGTGCAGATTAAGTAAAACAGAATGTATTTGTCTCTTACCAAAAAACATCCTCAGCCTAATGTGCTGTCACTTCAACTTCATTTGCACCCGAGGCTCTTCCATGTTTACTTCTTCATTTTACCTTCAAGGTTGTGGCATGCCTTCTATTGTATTTGCATTCCACCGAGAAGAAGAAAGATGAAAGGGTAGAAACCAATCCGAATTTAATTGGCTTACACCCGGGAGCATTGAGTGTGTTAGATAACTTCTGTAGAAGAGCATGAAAAATGTAGACGTGCGACTGTTTTTCCTAACAGCATAATAAGATAAGAAATAAGGAAGGCACCAAGAATGAGCTGTGGTGGAGTAGTTCACGTTCAGTACCAGAGGTTGTCATTTTCCTCCCTGGACTGCTATCTCTTGCCTCTCCAAGTAAACAATCAATGCTGGTTGTTGACCACAGATCATAGTTTTAGTTCTGACCACAATGTATTGGACCAGTATAGCTAGTCATAAAAGAAGAATTCAAATAATTTCATCATATGTTTAGTAAAGCACCAAAGCATATTTTGGGGGGTTGTAATGTGGATTTTTTAACAACCAAAAGCAATAGTCATGAAGAATGAGAACAAATACATCATCAAATTTATGCATAACATATAATTTTTGGAAAAACAACAAAATCCAATTGCCTTTTGAGTTGAAAACCTGTAATATTTGCTCTTTCTCCTCCATTGTTATATCTTTACACCAAAACATGAATACTTCATATAACATTTTAGACTATGATGACTTACATTGAAGAATAGGTATATTTCACTATAAGTCAAACAATAGATATTATAATGCCTACATTCTCTGACAATGAAAATACATTGTGTTTCAGAATCTCCTTGATCCCAAAGCACCTGTGTGCTACATACCTAGACAATCTGATCCCTACTCAGTTGTGTCAACTCAGTATCTCCCGACGGGCATAACGGCTGACCTCCAGTTGAACCCAGCTAGTGCGAGAGTAACACTACCTTCTGATCCAATCTCAACTCTTCGTGTGGAAGTGAAATATCACAAAAATGATATGTTACAGTTTAAGGTATGTTTGATATAACCCACCTCAAAGCTTGACTCATCTCTTGAGATAACTGAAAGAATTTTAATAGATTAATGTCCTATTTGGAATGTAATATTAAAAGTATGTAATGGGTTTGAATATTTTGACTCTACAAAAGCGGCTTTGCTTTTACACAGTGAGTTTTCTCATTTTTTGCAAACTTTTAGACTAATTAAAGATACAGTGGTCATTTAAAAGAATAAATTTTTGTTAAATAAGTCACTTTTTATGTAGGTAAGTCACTTAGAATTGAACAATGTTATTATTTCCATTAAAATAAACTCAACAGGATGATTTAAATATCAATTAATTTTAAAAGGAAATCATAATTTTTGAGGAATGCAATAAAAAATGAAAAAAATAACTTCTTTAATATTTATAGTTAGTATTTTTTTTGTGGTACCTGGGATTGAACTCAGGACCTTGTGCTTGCCAGGCAAGCACTTGCTCTACTGAGCTCACCTTGGCTATATAGTTAGTAATTTTAAGTTTCAAAATTTCCAAGATATCCATTTAAAAATATTGGAATTAATAAACATCAGCAAAGTCTATGATATAAAATAGTGTCTCCACAAGATATTTTATTATTTGCTATGTTTCACTATTGGGAAGTAGAAATAGCAGCAAATCTCATTAGCAAATTCAAATGAAAAGATAACTAAAAGAATCAAAACATCAAATGAAGGACTGGCAAGATAATTCAAATGAAAAGATAACCAAAAGAATCAAAACATCAAATGAAGGACTGGCAAGATAGCTCAGTAGACTAAGCGCCTGCACCACGTGCTGGACTGGCCTCACCAAGTCTGGGCGTGGTGGCATGCCCCTGTAATCCCAGCACTGGGAAGGTTGAAAACAGGAAGATCCCTAGGAGTCTGAGCTGCACAGTAAGACCTTGAATAAAACAAACAAACAACAATAAAAAAAAAATCAAATGGTATAGGTATAAGTGGATTGTCCATAAGGTAAAAAATAAAAATTGATGATATTAAAAATGCTAAAAAAATTCCAGATTAAGTGACATTTTAAAAGGATTTCCATAGGGCCAGTGAGATAGCTCAGCAGACTAAGTGCATGAATAATATGAAAACCTCACAAGCAGATATTAAGAGAGGATAAAAACAAAAGCTAAGGGCCAGCCAAATAGCTCAGCAGATTAAAGTGCCTGCAAGCAGGCCCAGGGGGCCGGGGTTTGATCCCCAGGCCAGCCGTGTGGGGGCCCCGCCCCTGGGGCACCCTGAGCCAGCAATTGAGACTGGGCATGGTGGTAGTGTGTGTCCGTAGTCCTAGCATTTGGGAGGTTGTAAACAGGCAGATCATCAAGAGTCTGATCTAATAGTAAGACTCTGAACACCCTGTAGACCCCACCCTAAAATGCAAAAAAAAAAAAAACACTAAAAATATAATTGGCAAAATAATTATACTCATCAAAATTCAAATGAATAAATGACAGACTAAAGAAATATGAAACATAGATCTTGAATAGCAGATAGTGAAAGTCACATTTTTTATCAACAAAGAAATACAATGTCACTTAAAAATTTGATCATATTATAAGAAATGGGCTGTTGGGCAGTTTTGTCCTTGTGTGAGTAACACTAAAAATTACAGTGTAGTAAGGGCCTTGTTCTCAAGCCACATTGAACATGTGGTCCATCTTTCACAAAAATGCTTGTGTAGTGGACAAAACTGTAACTAACATCTTTAACTGCATATAATTTAATACAGATTGACATTCAAGTGCACATTTTGGTTTAAAAAGTAATTAGGACACTAATTCTGGAGAGGAGCTTACCAATAGTATTGAAGATCCTAAAATGCTAATATGCTTTGATTGTTCTTTCACCTCTAGAAAATGTGCTGAGAAATATAATGACATAAACAAACAAAAATTAGCACCAATGGATTTGTGGTAGGGTTATATATTTGTAAAAATTATTGGAACAACATTAATGTCCAACTGTGCAATGACAAATAATTTTGGTATAGAAATAGAATGGAATATTTATTTCTGAAAGTTTTACTTGGTTTCTTCTATATGGAAGATAAAATATACAACATTTTTAAGAGGATCAACATAGAAATTTTTATTTTTGTCCTGTTTTGTTTCTGCATACAGAACACTATCTTGTTTTATGGGTCACTTGAGTATTATACAATCATTCTAACTGTAACTATTCATGTTTTGACAAAGATTTTTAACATTTAATTATATGTATATGTTATAGCAATAAAGAAGAATGGAATGCCTATTTTTACTATGTCTCTGCTGTAGATTTATGATCCCCAAAACAAGAGATATGAAGTTCCAGTTCCATTAGACATTCCAGCCACTCCAATGAGCTCTTACGAAGACAGACTTTATGATGTTGAAATCAAGGAACAACCTTTTGGTATCCAGGTTCGAAGGAGAAGCAGTGGAAGACTTATGTAAGTGAATAAACTTTTACATGTGAAGGATATTTTAAATTTAGAATTAAAGATTCTCACAGCTTTCTCTATGATAGAACAATATGTTGAAAGATTTTGTTATGTTAAATTAGTTGAAAGTTGTAATAGTTTATATTTAAGCTATTGACATAGTCATGCAACTATCAGATAGATTTAGTAGATTTCATTTCCACTATCTGTGTGATTAACTTTAATTATGAATATTAGACCATTTTTCCAATCAAGTTGAGAACCCAAACCAAAATTCTTGTAAAGCACAATGTGCACTACTAAAAATAGGTAATTGTATGTGACTTATGTAGTTATTTTATTAGAAACATTCAAATTGTTTATGTGCACTGAAATGTGATAGACAGTATTTTCTCTTTCTGACACTGATGAAAAAGGTTGAGACAAAAATCTATCTGTCTGTCTGTCTATAAATTTTTAAAGGTTTATTTATTTGGCACAGGGTCTCTGCTGTGCAGCTTGAACTTGTAGTGATCCTGCAGTCTCAGCCTCCCCACTGCTTGGATTATGGGTGTATGCCACCACACTCAGTTTCAGTGGCAAGCATGGCACAGGGCTGGCATGACATGTGGTACTGGGGATTGAACCCAGGTCCTAGACCACAGAACTGTCTCTTGGGTCAAATAAAATCTATAATTCTTATGCAATAGCAAAAATATTAATTAAAAATAATTGTCTTTATTTTCACTCAGCTGTGGTGTATTACTTATAGTAAAAAAAAAAAAAATAACACTTTTTTTTCCTAAAAAGGTTACCCTTACCCCTGTTTATGTATATAATGTTTTTTTTATTTCCTATATTACTGCATATTGGTTGCGTAGATTAATGGATTTTGTTTCAGCATATTCTTACATGAAAACGCATACTTTATTCTCTCTCATCCGTGGCCCCCAATTTCACATAGTTATGAGACATGATTTCAATGTGTATACTGTATTTTAATCATAATTATGCTATCAGTTATTTGCCCTTACACTCTCTCTTCCTGCCTTTTCTCCTTTGATTCTTGAATTGTTAACTCACTATGCTAGCACTTATATGATGTCAGGGTGTTTTCAAATACTGTCAGAAAGAATACCTATATCTGTGCTGCCTTGATTTTGTTATTAAGACAAACTGTTCAGAAGCATGAGAGCCTAAGACAATTCTAAAAAATAATCATGGTGAAGGGACATTATTTTTTGGGGGGAGGGAGGAGAGATATTATTTTCTACTAAATTATTTTAGAAATTAGTTAACAGAAAACTTTAAATGAGTCTCAAAGTATTTGTAATAATTGTTTCCTCTTCATGCCTATTATACTTTCAATTCTTCCTTTATAGTCTTGCAGAAAATTTGGACAATAATTTGCCTTTCTTATTGCATTTCATCACAAGCATCAATTTTTATAATTATAAAATGAAAGAAGAAAAATTCCAGTAGTTAATTTGCAAGAATTAAAACATCATGCTGCTAGTTCACTGCAATATTAAATTTATTTCTATCAAGGGCCTGCCAGATAGCTCAATAGATTAAAGCACCCGTTCAGGCAGACGCTGGTGCAGGGGATTTGATCCCCAGCCGCAGTGCCGGCCCCACCACTGGGAAGCACTCAGTGTATGAGACTGAACATGGCGGCATCCATCTGTAATCTCAGTGCTTGGGAGGCTGAGAAGCAGGAAAGATCACTACAAGTCTGATCTGTGTAGTGAGACCCTGTACTAAAAAAAAAACCTTCAAAAATAAATTTAATTTTTTCATACATAAACATATTTATATTGATTACCCCAAGGGAGAGAGTAAGAGAACAATGTGCAATTATCAGGACTTATTACTAAGTTACATATAATTACACATTTTTTTTTGTTTTGAAAAAAAACATATCTAAATATGTAGATGCATGTTATTCTTATGTTTCACATGAATCCACGGAATATGTCTTACACTATTTGGATTTAACAGTGTATCAATTAATTATCTACATCCATTTCAGAGCCTACAATAACTAGGTAGAGAAATACTAATTGTGTTTAGATGTCAAATAATTATTATTTTTTAATGTTACTCTTTTGTACTTTTACATGAACAGACTTTTCTTTTTTCTTTTTTTTTTTTAAGCTGGGATTCTAGACTGCCTGGGTTTGCTTTTAATAACCAGTTCATCCAGATATCTACACGGCTGCCATCAGAATACATATATGGTTTCGGGGAAG